AGACAACAACAACCAATATACCGGAGGAAAAAATAAAAAAAACGCTTCACTTCATTATTTTACATATTAGTGTTGAACCATACTAGAAAAATTTTCTGCCGCCTCCTCCGCCCTCTTCCTGCTTCTCTTCGCCTACTTTTTTCTTCCTCCCCCTCCCGCTCTAGTCCGCTTTTTAAGAAGGATAAAATAAAAAACTGAGAACCATCTCTCAAGTCAAAAACCCTCACCTCAAGGAAAGACCAGTAAAATAGAAAGCATAAATTGTGCTAACAAAATGCCCACCGATAGGAAAAAGAAGTTTACAACGATAAAACTGCGAGCAGTGAAAATGAAAGCCCAAAAGGAAAAGAGATAAAATCCCTGCATTTTATAATGCGGTTAATAAACAGTGAAATAAATCCAAGAATTGACTACTGCTTGGGAAGCACAAAAAAGTGCGACGCAATTCTTGTTCAAACCAATCAATTAATTTTCCTTCTACAGAAGACTCTCTAGAGGCCTAAAGCGATTATTTGTAAAGAAAATTGCGCAAACAAGTATAAGTACTTTCAAGATTGTATCGACAAAGACAGAAGTATCGGTGCTGTTGTTCCTACTGATTTTTTGATCTTTTTAATCTAAGGAAATTGCTATCTTATATGCTCCACTTGACGCCAAAAAAGTTCAAAAATAAAACCAAGGATGAGGAAAAAAAATTTGTTTGTAAGTAATTCAAAACTAAGCATACAAAAGCTGAAATAAAAAAGTAGTTCCTCAGTCATATTATAAATGATGCCTGTGCTCATTGCTAAATACTCAAAGCTGTTACTCAATCAAAAAAATTGGAAAAAAAGGAAACGAGAAGCCAAAGAGGCTGGCGTATTAGTCAGTAAAACTTGTGCATATGGTCTAATAAATTCTAATAACTGGCAATAAATGTAAAAAAAAAAATGAAGGTAAAAATATGAGAAGGTACGAAAAATACAATTACAAAATCAATTTCGCTGTCTATTCTTTAAATGCCTCCAAATAAAATAAGTTAACATCACTTGAACACTGAACTACTGATGAGAGCCAACTGAAACAAGAGGTCTTAGAGCAGAGAGCTTTCACACAATTAAATTCGGAACTTATTTCTTAAATAAAACATTCATTTCAATGATTCTACTCGTTTAAAACAATAAAAACGCAAACTGCAAGTCATCACTTTAAACTGTTAGAAAAATTTACTGATCGAAAACGTCGGAACAAGGAAGATACTAACACTTCAACAAATACATTTTGTTACTCCTCAAACGCTTGAAGCTTAAATCAACCAGAAAACCAAACAGACCACTAGTTCTAATACATTTAAATTCCATCTCTCCCTAAATCGACCACATATGTGAAACTGAGGAACAAAGAACAAAGTTTTAATAAGCTCCATAACCCATTCAATTGCATCTTGATAAGGATTCACAAACCCATTAAATACAAACTTTTTCTAGAACAAAAAACAACAGAAAAGACAATTCCTTACGTGCCTCAACCAAAATAAAATCCGTTACATTACAAAGCATTTGAAAACAATCTAGGAATGTCACTATTGAGTTCAAAGACAATGTCCAAAAGTTAACAAGTCGAAAAAACGCAGGGTCGGGGAATAAAACACCATAATAACAACTATAACAACACTGCTGAATTGTACTATTTGAAGTGAAAAATCTATAGAATAATTATATAATAGTGAAGGTAACAAAGCTAAAAGACAAAAAAGAAAAAAGTTTAGGCGATGTAAAACAACCTCTTTACCGTTAAAAGTCCTTCAAAGACGTTTTCAAAAACACTGTCTTTGAAAACTACAAACATTCTCACACCATCCTTTAAAACTTAAGATACTAATTTAATGTAGGTACTGCAGCGTCAATAAGGACAACAACTAATAAAAACCCATGAAGAAATTGATAGTTAAGCCAACCTTTTCGTTGCTTTGTTCCAAAGAAATATTATGCTCAACACCCGGCAAACGAACAGATTCAAAGTCGTCATATTCATCAAAATCCAAGTCGATTGTCTCTGCAACTTGCAAACTTTGTAAGCAAAAAACAAAATTACGAAACTGGGGTAAAAAGTGAAGAAAAAATAAGCGAAAAAACATTCCATGAAGCAAACCTTCCATCTTTGTCAAAACTCCTTATAATAGTTTTAAAAATGGTTTGCCGCTGCTCCTAAAAAAAAAAAAAAAAAAAAAAAAAAAAAAAAAAA